TCGAAGTAAATTTGTAGGTACTCGTACAATTTTTGACCCGCCGATCGAAATAATTTTGTTTCTAGTATTTATTAGCCGAACGACCAGTTTCGACAATAAAAGTTTAGTTACTTCTACAAATCCGGTGATGACAGCAATTCAAAAAAAAGATTAGACCGTAAATTATTGATATTTTTAAATGAAACTAGTAGGAATAATTTTAAAAGAATACTTATTTTCATTTTTTCGTCTGAATTTCTTAATATTCTAATTAGAGTATGAGCATTTTGTTTTCTACCAAATATAACACGGCTATATCTTCGTTTCCCTTTAATAGTTTGCTTTACCGTGTTGCCGGTTCTTGGGTCTGAATACATCGATTCAACGTAAATCGGCTTATACACCTTTATACTAATGTCGAAGGTGGCGCCGCCCGTGACAATACCGGTGTACCCTCAATCGTATATAAAAAACATAAAACCATTTTTTCAGGCCCAGCTGAAATTTGGTCAGGGAAGTGGGGAAACCGTTCTAGACGATAACCACTGAATGTACTCAGACCCGACCCCGGGCCTGAAATGTCGAAATCGGGTCTGAGCCCAATGAAGCAACGTAGTTTTTGGGCTCGTATAAGCGGTTTAATAAATCTATATATATATATATATATATATATATATATATATATATATATATATATATATATATATATATATATATATATATATATATATATATATATATATACTATACTATATGTATAATGTACAAATACCTAAGTAAATGAGTATTTCTTTTTTATTTTATATCTTCAAGAAATTTCAAGATTTTATTGATTTCTTGTCAAGAAATCTTGATCTTGAGAAGTAATTTCTTGTCTTGTCTTGAAAACCAAAAATAATTTCGTGTCTTGATCTTGTCTTGAAATCAAGACAAGATCAAGATATTGTCAAGAAAATGACAACCCTTATTTATAAGGCTCACGCTGTATTCAATTTCGATTTAGCATGTGTCTAGGACTTGATCAACAGTATAAGTTGATTACTTAAAAATTCCTATAAATAAATCGTAAATTTTTTTCCTTACCCTTCATTTAGGGGGATATAACTAATCGTACATAAATATAAACTTCAATTTTAATAAGCTTTTTCCAGGTCCTATGTTATATATCAATACCTAAAATGAATAGAAATCTAGTTTTGCCGCAGAAGATCGTTTACGAAAAGGAAATAAGCCACTGCGGGCATCGCTCGGCGCTAATAGCTTTCAGCTAGTGCGTGAAGGAATCAAGATAAGGAACAGCGTTATCTGGAACGCTCCAGCACAGCATCTCGGGAATTTATCCATCTCCACATCGTTCGTGGTTCTGCTTAGCGACAGATAGCTTCGCGCCGAGGATTAGCCAACGAAATAAGGGGAGACGGTTTTTTTAAATCCTGCTTTAACGTTGTTTTGCGGCATTGTCTCCATTCCTGTGTCGTTCGATTTGAAATTTTAGTTAGTTACATGTCCATTAAGTTTCTTATTACAGTAGATATAAATACAAGGTGGTGCCTCTCATACGCCGCGGGGGCTCCAAGGAGAACGACAGTTTGTATTGAAATTAAATTTTGTGAGCGTATGTAGGTTAATTCAGAGCACTTTTTAAAAATATAGAGAGTTCTGCAGGGTGTTCCAAAAAAACTTATCTATCAAAGTTGAGTTTTTTGTAATGGAACACCCTATATATTAATTGATTTTCGCATTCTGGGAGAAAAATAAAGGTGATTTTTATAAGAGAATATGACTAAAATGTAAGATTTTTGACATATTTAACATTTTCTAGAAATAAAAAATAATTTTTAAATTACAATAAAAGCTACCTAAATTGGAATTTACCCGGTATAGCCTAATATGTAGTATTGTACTTTAAATCAAATTAAAAATTGCTCCAAAAAGTTATACAGGGTGAGACAAAATTAATATTGAACATTGGTCACCTTTAAACGCATGTTACTCTTTTATTTTAAATGGAACACCCAGTATATTATTCCGATATTCAATGGAGAATTCATGTCCCTTCAAAATACTATTAAGGTTTCCTACCCCTAAATAAAGATTTTCCTATATATTTTCATTTACATGATTTGATCTGAGTAGATCTTTATTATTTGATAAAAGCTAGGTGGCAGTGATATGTCTGACGTTACTTCAACATAGCTGTCTAATTAGTACAACTTTAACAACTAGTTATCATTTTGTGTCAGTTAAAACTAACCTAACCTAACTTAGCAAAGAGTATATCACACCACAAATTACCTATAACAGATGCGAAAGAACACCGAATTACGCGTTCAGGTTTCTGTGACCTTCAGAAAGAGTTCATAGACAATCCGCATCAATGTATAGTTTGGGTTATTATTTGTTAGGGTGAAAATAATCTGCACCAATATGTTATCGAGGCATATAATCTCACAGTAATTTAATAGATTGCTCGTCATATTATATCAGTTCGTAGGAGATTAGGAAAAAAAAGATATTTATAGTATAAAAAATTAATTTATTTAACAAAATTTAATTCAAGATGTGACGAAATAGTTACTTTTCTATTGGTTCTATCGGACTTTTTTCGACTATATAAATCTTTATTTTTTGTAAACTTTAATGCATAAAATATTTTCAATCTAATAAACAATTTAATGATGTAAATAAGAGGAAATTTCTCACATGGGTGGTCAAATTCTATAGTTTTCATTATATCAAACAGCCTCTGAATGTTTTCTTCAGTGCAAAACTCATCAAAATTTAATATAAATAACTTTTCCATTTCCAGTAAATAAAATGAACAAATTTTTCCACTTTCATGATCAAAGGCTTTTAAATGGGTAAATAATTTCGAGTTATCCAGAGATTCGGATTCTTTTGCAAATTTTAGACAAATATCACATTGATGTATGTGAAGACCCTTTTTAATGATGTAGTCAAACATAATTAAAGGCATTTTGAGTTGAAAACATTTCTCAGAGGCTGTTTGATATAATGAAAACTATAGAATTTGACCACCCATGTGAGAAATTTCCTCTTATTTACATCATTAAATGATGTATTAGATTGAAAATATTTGATGTATTAAAGTTTACAAATAAAGAGTTATATAGTCGAAAAAAGTCCGATAGAACCAATAGAAAGATACTATTTTGTCACATTTTTAATTAAATTTTGTTAAATAAATTAATTCTTTATACTATAAATATCTTTTTTTCCTTATAAATAAACACATTTGTATCCCATTTTAAATAAGATATACAAATTACCAAAACTTAGAAATAACAGTTCAAAAGTTCAACAAAATCCTACACCCGTTTTTAAAAAGAAACATATAACCACGCACTATGTCATTCCAGCAAGCGAATACGACACAGCATAGGTTTCCGGACTAAACGACTGGTGTATTTACACCACTCAATAGGCGTGTGGGGTTTGCCGAGCGGTTTCCGATGCAGTCGCTTTCTTTCGCATCTGTTATAGGTAATTTGTAATCACACAGCCACCTAGATTTTTTTTTCAAATAATAAAGATCTACTGACGTAAAATCATAAAAATTGAAATATCTATGAAAATCTTTGTCTGAGGGGTAGGCAACCTTGTACCCTGTACAGCTTTTCTGGTCAAATTTCAATTTGGTTTAAGATACAATGGTTACTGTAATTAAATATCAGGCTATACAAGGTCAACTAAAATTTAGGTAGCTGTTATCGAAATTTAAAATTTACTCTTCATTTTCACAAAATGTGAAATATGTCAAAATTCTTAGATTTTAGGTATATGTTTCTTTAATAAAACTCACCTTTATTTTTTTCCTATAATCCGAAAATCAATTAATATATAGGGTGTTCCTAAAACTACCGTTCTCCTTTAAGCTTCCGCTGCGTATGAGAGGCGCCACCCTGTATTTCAAATACATTTTTAAATTTTTCTGTAAAATAAAATGGGGAAAACTCATTACTCGTACCTATTTAAAATTTACATGGAATTTCTCAACGGCCTCTTAGGTTAGAGGTCGTTGAAATTTCTTATGTTCAGGTGGACGAGGAACTCACTCTATAATATCACTATGGTTTATTTTAAAATTGTACTTGAAATGAAAGGACATAATCATTGGCCATAATTCATTATAAACGTCTAGATATATAAGTTTGCAGACTAATCAAGGTCCAGAAAACAGGTACTCGACTTTTTAAATAAACAAATTAATCATAAATCGAGTGTACAGAGATTTATCAAGATATATAACTACCTATAAAATTGACTTGTCTGCCAGGCTTAACTTACTGGTCAAAATGAATATGTTAAGTGATGTTTGTCTTTATATTTTGAGTGTTATATATTTAATAAATAATTATGCATTGGTACAAGCTAACAAATTTGTATTAAGGTATTTTTTTAAAATAATTATTCTAAATTTGAATCTGATAAATTTTAATTATGATTATCTAAAGTTTATTACAATCTTTCAAGCATTTTTTTTCCTTTGTCTTTAGTTCTTTCTTACATTTTATCACCACTTTCTACAGATTTTTCAAGTTGTAGTAAAGATTTAATGTTCAATATTTTTTTAAATAGAGTTTTGGACAACATTTTTTACCCCATATTTTCCCCAAATTCAATAGTAACAAAATTTATTTCTGCTGTTAAAAGTCGAAACTTTGTACATCAAAACAAAAAAAATATATTTTTTTCAAACGTCACAAAAGTATTACTTTTTGCGACGTGATTGACAATATAAAAAAAGTAATTTTAACGACTAAGCATAAAAGTAAAGCACTTTTAGACCTAAGCACAAAAGTACGATTATATATTATTAAACTGACAAGTATCAAATTCAACAAGTGTAGCCATAATTTCTCGACATATAATTATCTTTTTTTGAAAATTGTTTTTGGGATTATGGTCTGTAATAAAATGTTTTTTTTTGTAATAAGTTTTTACTACAAAATTATGTTTTTATTACAAATTGTAATAACTAAATACTTGTTTGTTTTTAGGGTACTGGTAAATGTAGATCCTCCCTTCATCACTTTGAATAAGAACGTTACGCTGAACAGTGCATATGTGCCTCTTTCTGCAAAAGATATCCATGGGATGGAAAATGAACTCTTCGAATTTGTCTTGGAAAAAGAAAATGTTATGGTATGAATATATATGTATTCTTTTTTAGATTTAGTTAAAGGATATGTACAATTCCAGTGTTCAATACTGTCATAATTTAATATTTCATGTTTTATATTTCTGTACCCCTATTTCAAATGTTTATTCCCCATTAAAAAAAGACAGAGTTATCAAAAGATAGTCCAAGTAACGCCTATTTTTCCGCTATCCATGATAAATTTCTTATGTAGAAAATCTGTATCCTGATATTTACATTTGTTTAGTATGGTATGCAACCAGTAATACAAATATATTAAAGCCGCGACTTCACAGAGACCCTTTTTCTTCATTTTATATAATACAAATGATAAATGCACACTTATAGAAATGTTTCTAAAGCTCTAGGTATATTTTTTATTCCAAATTATAAATATATATTTTTTTAAATTGATATGTTTACAATGATTGTGATTGGCCACTTCAGAATTGCATGGGATTTCCTATATTTCCAAAGATGCACCACCCGGTATATATAAAATTGTATAATGTTTTGTGTCATTCTTCTGAGCTTTTGTCAAGCTCATACTTCTGATATAAATCCCTGATTTTTCATTTTTTAATAAATAAACATAAACAAATAGTGAACAAAAATTTTAAACCTGGTCAAATACCACTGATTTGACCACATTAGTGTGCAGTGATCGTATGTACCCCCTTGCTATTTATGTACTCTTGAACTCAACAAAGGTGCACTAAATTTTTAAATCTGGTCAAAAATCACCGATTTCTATCAGAAACACATAGGTCGAAATTATTTTTCATCAATTTTGTTCAAAATGAGTAATATCTTGAATTTTTATCAGGAACATATAAGTACGAGGTATTGAGTACGTGATGTATTTTTCGATGCCAGTAGTAGACAGTTACATTCACCATTATGTCAAGAATTTTAAAGGTATTAGGGTTTGTTTGTATAGCTATACATGTTAAGTATAAAATTCATCTCTTCAATATTATATGCTCCTGATAGAAATCAGAATTATTTAGCTTATAGTAAAGATTATTTATTTTATTTTCATCGTATTTTCTTTTTCAATACTCAGTCTAATAAGCGTGAGGAAAACACAGGAAATAAACACAGTGTTTGAAATAAATTATACTTTATTGATAGTAAAATAATAAATTACACATAATTCTAAATTATATTAACTATTTTATCACATAGAGTTATAAGAATTCCAGCACTCGATGTGTTGACATTTTGGCTGTAGGTGCACTTGCTCTTGTTAGTAGAGTAGTAGATAGGCTAGTTTTGTAGATGATGTATAAGGGCTGTAGTTGTGAGTAGAGCTCACTTGACCATGGCTTTATGTACTGTAGCTAGAAGTTCTGTATCTGTCATGAAAAATATAAATTAGATATTTTTACTAGTTAAATTAAAAATAACTAAACTACAGGATATCAAATCCACGTAGGCCAATTTGTATGTGATCTTGTTACATATACAGGGTGAGGTAGCGTGGAGACTGA